GTGGTTTGGGCAATAAAATCCAGGGAATCTTATTATTGTATATTTATTATATTCTGCCTATTCTGTTTAGAACTACTGCAGGAATTGGGTTGATCTAGTCTAGCGAAAAGAAGAACTAGGGGTAACATGATAGCACTGTTCCAATATTTGAGGGGCTGCCACCAAGAAGGGGGGAGTCGTCAACCTGTTTTCCAAAGAACCAGAAAGCAAGACAAGAAGCAATGGATGGAAACTGAACAAAGAGAGAAGCAACCTAGAATGCAGGGAGTTGGACTAGAAGGCCTCCAAGGTCCCTTCCCACTCTGTTATTTTGTTTGTTCTGTTCTGTTCTGTTCTGTTCTGTTCTGTTCTGTTCTGTTCTGTTCTGTTGTGATGTAAGCATAAAACTGTTGTTGGTGTCATTCTCCAATCCTATCGCATACTGGTTAGTTATACTGGATTCCACTTGCAAAAAACTGAGATACTGGTGTTTTCTCCTTGAATGATTCTGCCACTTCATTTTTATATCCATATTATAAGTATTATAAAATCTACATTGTACTAAATGCTAGTATAATATGAAATATATTCCCAAATGGGCGCAATATTTCTGTTTTTAAACAGTTGATATTCAAGCTGCCTCTCACCAATGGTCTCAAAGTATGTAGCAGCACTATACTTTTCGAGATTTGGCTTTTTCTTCTTTTGCCTAAATGGATTATTGATGAGCTGTTGACTATAGGATGACTACATTACATGACTACATTACATGACTACTAACAAGAGCCTTGGTAGTACAGTGGTTTAATGCTCCCTGTTATTAACACAGCTGCCTGCAATTTCTGCAGGTTCGAATCTCACCAGGCTCAAGGTTGACTCAGCCTTCCATCCTTTCTAAGGTAGGTTAAATGAGGACCCAGTTTGTGGGGGCAATAAGCTGACTTTGTATAAAATATACAAAAGTATGAAGGCTATTGCTTAACGCATTGTAAGCCACCCTGAGTCTCCGGAGAAGGGCGGCATATAAATCAAATTAAAAAAAAAAAACAAAACATTATTTGGAGGCTTCATAGAATTGCTGTAATGAACCATGTACATTGCATATTAGACCTTGTAATGTCCGATGTCTATGGTTCATTAGAAAAAATTTGTGTGGACATAGCCCTTCATGCCTGTGTGATGCAAATTTACCTTACTTAGTGTCTTTTTCAAAAAGTACTGATCTTTCTCAACATCAGCAGTTTTAAAATGTGTGGATTTCAACTCCCAGAATTCCAAGCTGGCATGTCTGGGAGTTGAAGTTCGTACATCTTAAGGTTGCTGAAGTTGAGAACTGTTCTATATAAAGCAGGAGTTTAATGTCTGCTTAAGAGAAGTCTGCTTGCAAATATTTATTTCTAAATCATCCTTGCATAACTGAAATTAGAATGGTTAATAATCCACATTTCTGAGGGCAAATACCTATAGCTGTATAGGCTACAGTGCCTCTGAAACATCATGTTAGTTTGGTTTCTGGCTGATTAGATCATTCATACTGGACTTTATGGGATCTTTGAAGCAGCAAGGATATAAATATGAAGGTAGTATAGGATGATATATTATAATATGGCAGAATGGAAACTAAATCATTTGAACGTGCCAGCTACAGAACTAATTTATCTTCTTGCTTAAATAATCTTAGCAGGCTTAGCAGAGTTTCAGACTCCTGAAGAAACATATTCTAACAATATTATAAATAGGAACTTGCAGTTAACATGTTCTGCAAGAGATACAATCTAGAACTAAGCGGAAATTTCCTAACAGTGAGAATAATTCACCAGTGGGACGGCTTGCCTTCAGGAGTTGTGGATGCTCCATCATTGGATGCTTTTAAGAAGAGACTGGACATCCATTTATCTGAAATGATATAGAGTCTCCCACTCAAGCAGGGGGCTGGGCTAGAAGACTTCCAATGTTCCTTCCAACTATGATGATGATGATGATGATGATGATATGCATCTCAGGGGAGTAGTCAGTAATGACAGACAGACAGGCAGACAGACAGACAGACAGACAGACTGTATTTATTTATTTATTTATTTATTTATTTATTTATTTATTTATTTATTTATTTATTTATTTATTTAGGTTTTCCCAACTCCAGTGGGCTCTTGGGAATTCAGTGATAGATTAACAGATGATAGACTGATAGACGGTAGATGATAGAGAGAAAAGTTCTGAGGTTCTCATTTTGGGTGGGGGGAAATAATACAATGCCTTTTATAAAAGTGCCAAAAATATATCTAATTTTATATTACCCCCTCCTTACAAAATCTCCTCCTTTCTAGAACTTTGTATTCTAGTCCTTCAAAAAAGTTACAAATGACTCCTACTATCTGCTACAGAAAATAAAATACTACAATGATTGTGTTACAGGTTTTGAAGTCAATTTGCATGCTGTCCTTGTTAAAAAAAAAACATATTGGGGATTTGGGATCTAACCAGCTAATCCACTTAAGACTTATTTAATTATCTCGGTGCTCTGTTTTATAAATCTCCATGAACTACTTATACAAAACTGATACCTTCTCATTGCCCAGCACAGTATAACACCTGCATACAATTTAATCAAGAGGAAAATTAATGCAAAACATAGCAAGAAAAATTACACTGCCTATATGGTAGCAATTTTCTCCATTCACAGTTAATAATGTGATATAGATGAATGGCATCTTACATAATAAAATTCTAGTTCCATTATGTTTCTAGGGGAAACATGTGGAAGAAAAGTTTTAAGACTGTCTGTATCATTTCATCTGAAAAGTCCACCTGCCTCAAGCATGATTGCGCTATAGAAACTTGTTAACTGGCTCACTATTTTATAAAACATTTGAAGTCTCTGGAACAAATGCAAGAATTTTTGGGATGAATGGATGCATCAGCCTTTAATTAGAATGGTAATTCATAAATGTCAAATACTTTCCATTAAGAAAACAAGTTGATATCCACCTAAGCAACACAATACTAAATGTATCCAAGTTTCATTTGAATGAATGGACTGAAAACATTCATAATTTTCGCTATTTAATTTAAATCTATGATTGTAGTCTGTGATGTGCAGGATCTCCTGCTTTCTATGCTTCTTTAGCTGTCCAAGTCCAAGATACTGTATGGTCCTCTCTTAGGTAGGAATTTTCTCATCATCATCATTTTCCTTAGCACAGGAAACAGGAAAAGACATAAAACTGCAGGCTATTCCTGAAAAAGCACATGGGTTTTTAATGTTTTGAGGCCTTTTCATCATATTGGTGGGAAAAAGTGTAACTTGTAATAAAATGTAATGAGTAACTAAATAATTATTTTGATGTTGTCTGTCTTTCAATACTATTCTGAACACCTTTCTAACTTTAGCCCTACTAACATAGTGCTCTCTTCAACTGTAATAGATCTATTGCCTGTACTCAAAACAATGCTATAGGGCATTGCACGCCAGAAAAACTAGACATAAGGACAGTTTTTTCCCGAATGCCATCACTCTGCTTAACAACTAATTCCCACAACCCTGTCAAATAATTTACTAAGACTTCCTTACTAATATCTATCTCTTCCCACTTATTACTATAACCATGTTGCTTATATCTTTCAATTTATATTGTTTTTATTTGTTTCCTAGTACAATTTGATAGCTTATTAGTAACCTTGAATATCACTAAGTGTTGTAACTATTTATTCTTGATGAATGTATTTTATTCTCCTTATGTACTCTGAAAGCATATACACCAAAGACAAATTCCTTGTGTGTTCAATCACACTTGGCCAATAAAGAATTCTATTCTATTCTGTTCTGTTCTGTTCTGTTCTGTTCTGTTCTGTTCTGTTCTGTTCGGTTCCGTTCCGTTCCGTTCCGTTCCGTTCCATTCCATTCCAGTGTTGTGAGTTTGAATTTGCAAATATAAACTTGGAAAGTTTTTAAAAGCCACCCAAAACCTTTTTAGCACCAATAAAGAGTCAAAAGACATATTATAGTCCACTAAACATCAAGGTAAGTCTTTGCAAGTAAGATCTTGATAAAAACAGTATAGTAGTGAATATATCAGCACCTCTCCTTAAATGACTTCTATTCCCCATTAAACAAGTCATCATTTATTCCTTTCTTGTCTGCCATGGTCTCTTTTCCCAAGATTTTCTTCTCCTCATGCTTCATGAACTGCTGCTTCTCACTGACATACACAAGTGTGGAAAAGACTGATCACTTGGTAGTGAACATTCATCATGTCATTGATTCATTGTGTGTCTGTTTTAGGTACTCCCCTTAACTAAGCATTAAATAGATGACTTCTGTATAATGGAGTTATCTTCTATCTGAATTCTCTGACCCATCTGTGAATGACAGCTTTGAAGGGCATCTAGTGTATGTTCAGTCAATGGAGTGCTTCATAAATTATGCTAGTAGGCCTGAATCATTAGTAGGGGTGGAAAAAAAAACCCAGAAATCATTGGTAGTCTTCATCCTGCTATAATATGGCTCAGAAACAGCACTCCAAAGGGGTTTGTAGTGATGGGTAGACTACAAAAAAGAATTATATTAAAAAAATGTGCATATCAGGAAAAGCTGTCTATCTTGATGATTTGTATATTCATTTCAATTTGTAGGAAATTTGATGGCGTACCCTCAGAACAAAATGTGTGCCATATACTGAGTTTGTAGCTGTGTTTGTTCCAAAAGTAGTATCAAGCAGTTTGATTTTTATACACATTTCGTTTTGGGGTGAGATTTTAGAAAACAAAGAACACCTGCCATTGTGCAACTGGTGGTAGCATCACTAATCAAGTAGTTGCTGCATAATAAACATGATCATTTCATGAGACAGATTAATTATTTTTCTGAGATAATACATTGTTTTATAAGCCATATAAAACTGGAATGATATAGGAACAAATGATAAATCACAAAATAGGATAATTAAATAAGCTGGGTATTGATTAATTGCCACCAAATAATATACTTCAAGCGATTGTTTTTAGAGAAGCAGAGAAAATACATCTATAATGAATTACATGATTCTAGTCACTTGGTAAATAACTTCAATGACTGCATGGAGTTTATAAGCTCTCTGAAAGTGCATTTCTCCAAAAGCAGCTTATCGGAACATCATGGGTTTTCTAAGACTGGTAAGTAAATCATTATTTTATTCTGTTTTATTCCTTTTTGAAATTGTTTTCATGGTTTAAAGAGTACTTAGTTCTTATTATGTTGTTCTAGAGTTCACATGTGCAAAAAGAATTATGACATACTATTAATCAGGGTTAAAAAAAATAAAACACGCCTCATAGAAATCTAATTTAAGCCATGGATTTTAGCTTCAAAGTCTGTTGCTAGATGCTTTGAAACTTCTTAAAATGGATGTTGGCACCAGATCTATTTCTAATTAAGGACCCTTGAGGAAAAGAACAATTGAGGATTTTTTTTTTAAAGGAACTCAGATTTAGCTAGCTGGAACCAGAGATAGAAGTCCCTTTAGCATTCTGTGAAGGGTAATTTTGAGAGTGACAGATTATCTCTCAGCAAACTTGAAGATACCAAAACAATGCAGCACTACCTGGTGAAAATCATAGAGAAGAGCATCTACTAAATAATGACCGTGCTACTCATCTAAGAATTAGTAGGGCCTCGTTCAGACAGTGCAGGGGAGTTGGCTCCCTCCACTTCCATGAGAAATAGTTTGGGCATTTGTTATTCTAAGAATTGGGCTCGGAAGTGCTTCCTTTTAAGCTCAATCCTTCATTCAAGGATCCTTTCAGAGGTCAGAAATTCTGCCAGATACCAACTCACACTTTAGCCTGAGAACTTAAATCACTAATTAATTCACTGGATTAAAGTGTCAGACTCAGTATAGAACTAGAAATTACAGCAGACTAGGGAGTTTAGCTGCAAACAGCAGCGCTGTATTTCTCTTTGCTCTCTTCTCCTTAACATTTAGTGATATTTAACATTTGATGTGACATTATCACTACTTTTCAAGTTTTCCTGCTCAATTTTATTTCTTAGGCTGTTATGTATCTGCAGGTAAAGCAAGCTCACAGAATGACAGAACAATGTCACACAGAGAGTATTCTTCTGTAGGAATCCATAAGGGAAAAACGCTGCCATTTTTAGCAGAACTTGTATGATTCACTATATCCAATATTTCAAGTACATGATCCCAAATGTAACAAGTTAAACGTGGTGAGGCAATTTTACCAATTGGGTAATGTAATTTTCTACCATTAGAAAAGCATACTAAAACAGGAATGCCAGACTGCAAGCTTTATTATACTTTAGGGCAGTATGTGGGTAATATTGGATAAAAGTGGATTTTGGGTAACAAAACATAAATCTATTACTCAATTAGGGACATTTACATTATCTTAAACTGTTTTACCTATATTGGGTTAAAAAAGGGCTTTCTGATCAGTAATTTTGATAACGATGGAAAAAAATTGGGGAGCACTGCTTTATGATCTCAAAACCATGTTTTGTATTTCCAGAACTGTGGACTCTCCAGAGTTCCAATTTGGTATTCTTGCCCATACTAACCCATTGCACATTTTATTTATTTACAGTTGCTGACCTCTATGAACAACAACAAAATGCTCATTTTTAAGTGCATTTCCCAAAGAAACAGTGAATTCCTGCTTCAGGCCTACTGTACAAACACTTGAGACTCTTTATTACTAACTGGGTCCAGTGGCAGAGAAGACAACGACGTTCTTTTGAAGACAATCAGAGATGCTATGTCTGTCCTACTCACCATATCAGGGATAAAGATGACCTTTAGTCAGACTTGACTACTGATAATTGTGTTTATTAAGTAGTTGTTAGGGGCTCTTCCAGGATTTTTTTTTTTAAAAAACTTCCTCAGATCCTGGATAATGATAGAAGTGGTAATGAAAGAAATACTAACCTTCTATCTGGAATAAACAGAGTTTTTCTCAATATTCAAAATGAAGAGTCCTTATAACAAAGATCAAGGTCCAGGTATACTTTAAAGAAAATGATTACACTTCAGCTATTGGTAAATGCTGTTCATTATTTTCTTTACTTTAAATAGAGTCTGAAGTCTCCTTTTCTGTCTGATATGGATGCAACATAAGGAGGTTCAGTATGATGGCAGTAACCACTTTCGAATGTCAGTGAGCAAACATAACTCATTCACAGATGACAAGAGCTGGGCACTGTGGTCTGCTCTGTCAAACTCTAGATAGGCTGTTTTGGCAATGTCAGTCAAAAGCTTGTCAATAAGAAGTCCCTAGTCATGCATCTGTGGAATCATCTTGAATTTCACTTTGAAGTGGAACCCCTTATGGCTTCATGAGGCACATTTATATTCCTTCTAGATAATACTGCATCACCTTCATTTGTTTCACCACTAATCGCTACCGACATTTCTATGTAGTGCTAAATGTGGATGGACTCAGTTGGTAATACTAAATTGTTGGCCATGAATACCTAGCAAAGAATACAAGCAGTAACCCACCTTGATTTTCCTTCTCTGTCAGCAAGTTGTTAAAGGGATTGACAGTATGCAAAAGTCCTTTCTGAGAGTAAATACTTGATTTGGTGGTCATACTGCTCAGAACATGCATGCATTTTGCCCTGCGGAGCTAAAATAAGAGACAAACCACTAGTGGGGAATGTTCTATAAATTCATGGATTATTTTATTGCGAATGAAAAAAAAGAAAAGAAAGGAATGACTCATTTGCCTTTCAAGTTGCCTTTTATTTTATTTTTATTTATGTATTTTGTCAATCATGTATTTGATAACAGATACAAGTGTAAACATAATTATGAATACATGAAATTGATACGAATAAAAGGAAACATTAGGGCAGGGATGGTAGGCACGCTGGTGCACTTAAGCACGCCCCTTAAAGACTTCTTAGGAATGGGGTGAGGTCTACAGTAGACAGTCTAAGGTTTAAAAAACAACGTTTTTTACCTAAAATTTTACTTTTTTTAAAAGAAAAAGAATGCAGTACTGCAGGCTACAACTGCTGGCTGCAGTTCGGCAGTTCAATTCGCACTGGATCAAAGTTGACTCAGCCTTCCATCCTTCCGAGGTGAGTAAAATGAGGACCCAGATTGTTGGGGGCAATATGCTAACTCTGTAAACTGCTTAGAGAAGGCTGTAAAAGCACTGTGAAGCAGTATATAAGTCTAAGTGCTATTGCTATTGCTGTGCTTGAAGACATTGAAACTACCCACATATAAAAAAGGTGTGTTATGGTACTTTGGAAAATAGTCTGAATCTTACTGTCCATGGTTTAGAAAACATGGACAGATTCAGCAAAATGTTAAAGATTTTGTTTTCTATGGTGATACAGTAGGTCATTAGATGTAGGGCCATCTGTTCTCAATGCAGGTTAGCACAGGGCTGTCAAACTCCTGGCCCACGCGCCAGATGCATTATGTGCTGGCCACATCCACGGCTGGTTTAGCAAAGGAGAAAAAGTCCCAATATGTCACGTGATGCTGCCGTGACAATGTGAGTTTGACACCCCTGGGTTAAATTGTTGTAGGAACAATTTTTTCCTCAGGAATAGATTATGGTTGTCTTGCTCACCTTTTACTCCCAGCCATATTCCAGATATTATGGCTATTATATGCTTTATACTTCATTGCACCCATTCTTTCAAAACCGAACATTGTACATAAGATTATAAATTGCTTTTCTTGTTTGGTCAAGAACAAAGATCTATGTGTTATTGGCTTTATTCTAATTTTTAATTGAGAAAAAAAAATCACTTTAATTAAACAAAAGCCACTGCAAATTGGTTAATAGCCTGTCAGTCTTAATGGTGAAGTAAGTATACTGAGGCTTACTTCAGAATACACAAGTGGATTTAAATTGCTGAGAACATTAAGACAATAGCCAGGTTTGAAGAACATTGGTACTTTAAAAATCAATAAAGAAAATAAAAAATAAATTTTCCATGAGTTCATGGAATGGAAAGCAGAGAAGTGGTCAAATGTAATTTGAAAGATGGCATAGAAACGGGCATTTAAAGATCAGAAAAACCCACAAAATTCAATGGAACTGCAAACCATGTCAGTGTAAAATAATGATTGCAATAATGTTGTGTGTATGTGTGTGTGTGTGTGTGTGTATGAGAGAGAGAGAGAGAGAGAGAGAGACAGAGACAGAGACAGAGACAGAGAGAGACAGAAAGATGACAGTTGTGATCATATGACCAAAGTCCAGCAACCTTTTAATCAACTTTTAACATTGAATGTTAATCATAATTTTAAATTTTCATTATCATTTTTATGTTTAACATTTTATTTGTGCACTATCCAGAGTTCATCTGTGAGGGAGATGGGCAGTTTCTTTCTTTCTTTTTTTTTATTGGATTTTAAACAAAGATATAAAGACAATACAAAAAATACAAAGACATTACAAAGACAAACAGATTCCCACCACCTACCTACCCACACCATATTTTACATATATGTTTTGGTCATCATGTCCGGGAGATGGGCAGTTTCAAGACACACAGATAGACAGGAAGGAAGATAACTAACAGATTATGAGAACACAAACGAGAATCAGATGAGGAGACACGAACTAATTGCAATGAACAAGGACATACATTCAATTTTGCAACCACTAAGATTGTAGGCCGAGCAGGTACAAAAATAGCCAAGGAAATGATTGAAGCCTGAGAAACAGGCCCCTTGTCAGTCAATTGTGCTGATTTACCATAAGTTTATCAGATACTTACGAGCCGAGGATTTGGCAGCACAAGGAAACAACAGCCAATGACTTAATAGCCAGACATCAATACTCAATAAACAGCTAAAAAGCCACAGAAACAGGCACCACATAAATACTACTTACAGAATAGTCCAAAGTACACTTTTTGGTGAGAGAGAAATTCCCTGAGGATGGGCTCCTACATGAGTCCAAAGGTTCAAAAGACTAAACCTCTGATCATGGTAACCAATTGGGACCAGATCCTGCAAAAATATCCTAGGACATGTATATTTGTCTTCCTTCATGAGTTTTAAGATTTGATAAATAAGTAAATAAATAAATCCTTATGATAAATATTAGCATAAATATTATTAGGGATGTGGTGGCTCAGTGGCTAAGACACTGAGCTTGTCAGTCAAAAGGTTGGCAGTTCAACGGTTTGAATCCCTAGTGCTGCGTAATGTGGTGAGCTCCTGTTACTTGTCCAGCTTCTGACAACCTAGCAGTTCGAAAGCACGTAAAAAATGCAAGTAGAAAAATAGGGACCACCTTTGGTGGGAAGGTAACAGTGTTCCGTGCGCCTTCAGTGTTTAGTCATGCCAGCCACATGACCACAGAGATGTCTTCAGACAGCACTGGCTCTTTGGCTTTGAAATGGAGATGAGCACCAACCCCAGAATTGGGAACAACTAGCACACATGTGCGAGGGGAACCTTTACCTTTAGGACTCTACTTGCAAGGAATCCCTGTGTGAATACATAGAACATAGAATAATCAGGTTAGAAGGGAGTTTAATGCTTAGAGCTAGTCCAAACACTGCTTAAGCAGGGGATCCTAAACAACTCCAGACAAATGATTGTCCAATATCTTCTTGAAAACTTCCAGTGGTAGAGCACCCACACCTTCTGGAAATAAACCATTCCACTGATTAAGTGTTCTCACTGTCAAGACATTTCTCCATACCCTTGTATGATTAGAGGTGTGAGATTTCATGTACAATGATCCAAATCAAGCCTGAGACATGAAAACTTTCTGGGGAGATTTTGGATCAATCACTCTTCCCCTGATTAAGGTCTTATCACGGGGGGAAATACCAGCGATGGGGAAATGCTAGATATGCCATTTGGAGGAATGCTGGGAAAGAAATTTAATAAGCAATGAATGAATGAATGAATGCATGAATGGTTTTTCTTTCTCTGGAACCAGAATGCTTCAAATGTTCTTTATTAACATTCCAGAAATTCCCAATTTGTATCAAATTTGCCCCTTCTCCATGTCTTCATTCCTCTTTTGCAAAATCCACCCTTGCCTGCCTCTTTTGACAGAAAATTTGAGAGCAACGAACAAAACTTTCCTTAATATTACAGCCTATTCTGATAAAAAGCCCCTCTTCTCTGAAGTCCAAAACTTTCATTTGTAATTTTTTTCCAGTCTGGATTGCTAAAATAGAACGTTATAGAGATATGTAAAATAAATGATGCAATATCTCTTATTGGGAGCATTGTAAAAGGGGAAAAAGTATGCTCACCTTTGCTCCATATCGCTATAATAAATCACTTAGTTTTTAAAGAGTGAACTCTCCCACCATTTTATACACACACGTATAAAATTTATTATGTTTAAAGAAGATTCCTTTAATTGTCTACTTCATATCCCTTGGCTCCTGGATCTGATTGTCCTGCACACCAAATTAGATGCTTTAGTTAGGAAGAATAATGGGGCATGTGCTGAATCCTTTGTAATAACCCTGTTTTAGAAACAGTCCCTGACCTTCTCAGCTCATACAAGACCTCCTTTCAGATGTTACCAGGCTGAGAGAGCCTATTACTACAGTCATCTTTTGGCAAGGACATTCAGTTTCAGGGGACAATACTGTCCTCAATTTAAGAGACGCATATATCTATGCACAAGGGGATGATTCTTTCATTCCTGAAACGTGTGTTCAGAAGTGTGCCACATTTCAAGTATTAGTGTGGGTTCCTCAAGCAAGTTTAGGTAAAGGTAAAGATTCCCCTCGCACATATGTGCTAGTCGTTCCTGACTCTAGGGGGCGGTGCTTATCTCTGTTTCAAAGCTGAAGAGCCAGCG